GCATTGGGTTTGTAAACAAGCACCAACATGGGTTCTGGACAGGGAAATCATGCCTAACAAACCTTTTAGAATTCTATGATAAAGTAACAAGGATAAGGCAGGACAGAGAAGGCTGGGCAGACTGCATATTTCTTGACTGCCAAAAGGCCTTTGATACGGTACCGCACATGAGACTGCTATACAAACTTGAGAGGCAGGCAGGAGTAAGCGGAAAGGCCCTAGTATGGGTGAAGAACTACCTAACAGGAAGGAGCCAGAGGGTAATGGTAAGGGGCGAAAAGTCGGACTGGCGAACAGTAACAAGTGGAGTACCTCAAGGATCGGTGCTGGGACCAATCCTCTTTCTAATTTATGTAAATGATATGTTTACAGGAGTGGAATCATACATGTCAATGTTTGCAGATGACGCAAAATTAATGAGAAGAGTTGTGACAGACGAGGATTGTAGGATCCTCCAAGAGGACTTAAACAGGCTACAGAGATGGTCAGAGAAATGGCTACTGGAGTTTAACACCAGTAAATGTAAAGTTATGGAAATGGGATCAGGTGACAGGAGACCAAAGGGACAGTACACAATGAAGGGGAACAGCCTACCTGTAACGATTCGAGAAAGAGACCTGGGAGTGGATGTGACACCTAATCTAACTCCTGAGGCACATATAAATAGGATAACGACAGCAGCGTACTCTACACTGGCGAAAATTAGAACTTCATTCAGAAACCTAAATGAGGAAGCTTTTAGGGCGCTTTACACTGCCTACGTGAGACCCGTCTTAGAGTATGCCGCGCCATCATGGAGCCCCCACCTGAAGAAACACATAAAGAAACTGGAGAAGGTTCAGAGGTTTGCGACGAGGCTTGTCCCAGAGCTACGAGGGATGGGATATGAAGAGCGGCTGAAGGAACTGAACCTTACGACACTAGAGAAAAGAAGGGAGAGAGGAGATATGATAGGGACATATAAAATACTCAGGGGAATTGACAAAGTGGAAATAGATCAAATGTTCACACGTAATAATAACAGAACGAGGGGACATGGGTGGAAACTGGAAACTCAGATGAGTCACAGAGATGTTAGGAAGTTTTCTTTTAGCGTGAGAGTAGTAGAAAAATGGAATGCACTTGGGGAACAGGTTGTGGAAGCAAATACTATTCATACTTTTAAAACTAGGTATGATAGGGAAATGGGACAGGAGTCATTGCTGTAAACAACCGATAGCTAGAAAGGCGGGATCCAAGAGTCAATGCTCGATCCTGCAAGCACATATAGGTGAGTACATATAGGTGAGTACACACACAATCACACACACACACACACACACACACACACACACACACACACACACACACACACACACACACACACCATATTCCATTGTAGACCTACATTTAAAATTTAAAAAAAAATGAATAGCAGGAGAGGGCGCCCGAATCTACCATTACAGCTGCTGTTGTATCGGTCGTATCCTCGAGCTATTATCATTCGCTTTAATGGGCAATTGACAACGGAATTTCAAGTTAGACTTGGTCCGCTCTCCTCTTTGCCCCCCCCCTAGACCCCCCCCCTAGACCCCCCCTCCCTTCCCCGTCTTTTCCAACGAGGAATTTACTTGGAAGTTTTTCTTGTAGCTTGTCGTGGAGGAGGGGGGGGGGTGGAGGGGCAGTTTACCTGTATGGCTTATAGTAGACCAGATTAATTATCCGTGCCATGTGATGCGTGTCGGGGGGTGGAGGGGCAGTTTACCTGTATGGCTTATAGTAGACCAGATTAATTATCCGTGCCATGTGATGCGTGTCGGGGGGTGGAGGGGCAGTTTACCTGTATGGCTTATAGTAGACCAGATTAATTATCCGTGTCATGTGATGCGTGTCGGGGGGGGGTGGAGGGGCAGTTTACCTGTATGGCTTATAGTAGACCAGATTAATTATCCGTGTCATGTGATGCGTGTCGGGGGGGGGGGGAGGGGCAGTTTACCTGTATGGCTTATAGTAGACCAGATTAATTATCCGTGCCATGTGATGCGTGTCGGGGGGGGGGGAGGGGCAGTTTACCTGTATGGCTTATAGTAGACCAGATTAATTATCCGTGCCATGTGATGCGTGTCGGGGGGGGGGAGGGGCAGTTTACCTGTATGGCTTATAGTAGACCAGATTAATTATCCGTGCCATGTGATGCGTGTCGGGGGGGGGGAGGGGGGGGGCGCCAAGGAAGGAGACGCCGTAGATTTTGGAATTCATCGTCTTTTCACAAATTTGTTTCAGCCGTGTTAACTATCGCTCTGCTAAAGATAATTTTCATACATATTTTTTTTCGGGGACTTTTGTTTCCTTAGGCTGAATCTTCTGAACAAATTTTGCTAGTTTTAAAACTTCATCCTTGTTTATTTGGTCGATTCCTGTTAGTATTGTGTATGTATTGATCATATCCCTTCTCTTCTATCTTCTAGTCTTGGCATATATGTATATACATAAATATCCACGTGCATCAAGGAATATAAACTTGTATGGGGAGGGGAGAGGGGGAACTGGAGCTTACCTAAGGGGGGGGGGGGTTTACCAGGGCCGGCGGCCTGCTTTCTGTTAAGGACTTCAGAAACAAGTTTACCTGCAGGCAACAGTGGTCACCATTCCCTCACAACCATAGGACCCTCCCTCACCATCACCTGACCTCACACTATTACACACCCATCCATAATGTCTCCCATTACCAGTACACCATATCTTTCACCACACCTGCCACCATTAGCACACCATAACTGTCACTACAATCATCACCATTACACCATAACTCATTACTACCAATCCACGTCCGTACTAGTGGATCAAACTCTCACAAGTCGAGCCTGGCCTCGGGCCGGGCTTGGGCAGTAGAAGAACTCCCAGAACCCCATCAACCAGGTATCGTACGCTTATAGTTGGACAAGAACGCTTGAACTACGTCGCTCGTCCACCAGTGAGCGAGCAGCGTGTCCCCCTCCGCCAGCATGGCAGCGTCGCGTCCCGTGACACAAGGGCTGGCGTGATATTCAGAAAATAGTCTCAGTGTCTCCAGCTCAAGAGAGACCCTCCTGCCATGTTTCCGGTCTGAGTCACCCCCTGTGAGCTGTGTGTGTGTGTGTGTGTGTGTGTGTTTAAGCGTGTGTACTCACCTGCGTGAGTTTACCGGGTCCAGCACAAGCTGCCTGCCCCCACGATGACTTTCAGTCCTCCTGGATTCTCGTCATAGATTCTCTTTAATGTATGAAGATATATATTCCACGTACCAGCCACTACCGTCATCGCTGCCATTGAAGGTGCTTGTTGAACGTGCCTTAAGGATCACTTTTAGCCCGTTCAGATTATTGGCGGGAGTTAACTATCACTTTGTCACCTTGAAACGGAAATAACAGACTTTAAAATGGGTACAGGATACAGCTCGCTTGACAGAACGGAGCGACTGTGTCAAGGATCCGGCAATAATGTCAAGAGAAGCTAACGTTTATAGACTACTGTGAAGCTAATGTAATTGAGGAGGCCAGGTCGAGGACCGGGCCACAGGGACGTGGAGCCCTGAAATCAACGCAAGGGCTCACGTCAGTACACAATAGAGTCTAAAACCTGTACTAGCCTGAACAGTGTGACGTCATAATGACGTCACACACACCTTGTATGAAACATTTTATGGGTTATTTCCCTTAGGTTGGGTTTGTTTATGGCAGCTGTGACGTAGGAGGATACATAGTTCTCTCAGGTCTTAGACCCTCTGCTGTGACGGTTCTCTCATAAGGCATGCCGTTCACACACCCTTTCAAAACAAACGAAATATTCTATATAAGATATATTCGGAAATCGTTTAATGTTCGCATAAAATTAGTCCAAGCACTTAAAATACTGGCGATTGGCCCCAGAGATGAGAGAAAAGTATCAGATAGTGGTGGCTATGTGGTTCTGCAGGCGGCGAGCACAAACAGCCTGAGAGGCCAGTCAAGCAAGCATCATGGTAGTCTTCACCGCCCTCATCACTATCAGCCACTGTCATTATCGCTATCAGCCACTCACCTCATCGCTATCAGCCTCTGCCATTAGTGTTCCAGTAATATAATATATACGTACATATAGCCATGCAACGATTGGTAAAGTGGAGGAAGTGGAGGCTGACTCCATACACAATTTCAAGTGTAGATATGATAGAGCCCAATAGGCTCAGGAACCCGTATACCTGTTGATTGACGGTTGAGAGGCGGGACCAAAGAGCCAGAGCTCAACCCCCGCAAGCACAACTAGGTGAGTACTAGGCGAGTACAGTAACGGATAAAGAAACAGTTAATACTCCTATCTTCATCATGGTAATTGTATCAACTATTGCTATGAACGTTAATTTAAGAAAAACCAGCGTTTGTTGACATTATCATGATGGCCCAGTGCGCCGCCATGACACTTGCTGGTGCAGCGGTCTACCCGCACCACCACTCTTTTTGAGGGGTGGGTGGATTTTTTGTAGTAAAGATGGATATACCTTGTGATGGAAATTTGGAGAAATGGGAGATAATGTGTGAGTTATGATAGCAGGCTGGGTGTTGTGTGCAGATCAAAGAAGTTTGCTACACTAGAAGGTGAAGGGACGACGACGTTTCAGTCCGTCCTGGACCATTCTCAATCGACTTGAGAATGTCTCAATCGACTTGAGAATGGTCCAGGACGGACCGAAACGTCGTCGTCCCTTCACCTTCTAGTGTGTGGTCTGGTCAACATTCTTCAGCCACGTTATTGTGACTCATCGACGTAATATTTTTCATGAATTTTTCCACCATAATATGGAAATGCATTGATAAATGCTTCCATCCGGGCATATATGCATTCTGTAATGCTTGCGTCTTGGATTATATACCTAGTGAATCTGGCCACTTTTCTCAATAGGCTACAATCGAAAAATATGTATTTATTTTGTATCCCTATTGCCGGGCTTGTTATGCCTATTCTACTTATTCTAGGATGATTATTTAACATTTATCTCATGACAGGACTCGTGCGAACTACAAATTCCTTGCCATACTGCACTACAACTGGCTGCCCATGGGGACGACAACCACACAGCCCGCCACATAAGCCCACAGCACAAGGGCTCCAGCCACCAGGACCTACGAACCTTCGCCACAACGGCGCGACGACCTCTTGTCATCTTCAAACTTCAAGTGTCGTGAGTATTACCCATTAAACCTTTACTCGACCCTTCCTCGATCACCTTCCAGCACCCATTACCCCACACCCACCCCATGCCCCCATTCCCACACACCCTCCCAGTGCCCCCCATTCCCACACCCTCCCAGTGCCCTCTTCCCCCCATTATCTTATTAATAATCTTGTATGGGTCATGGCGTTATTGTCACGTTCCCTCTAGTGGGTCCCAGTCATCATGGAGTGTCCATAGTGACAGCACAGTGGTTGCCTTGAGGTGCTTCTTCCGGGGCTTAGCGTCCCCGCGGCCCGGTCGTCGACCAGGCCTCCATTTGAGGCCTGGTATATACTGTGGTTGATACTGATTATTGTGGAACTTACCAGGCATTCAATTGCGGACGTGGTTAGTGCAGGTGAGGTGCACTGCAAGATTAGTGTAAATGAACGTGTGTTTTACTGCTAGATTGGTGTAAATGAACACGTGTTCTACTGCTAGATTAGTGTAAATGAACACGTGTTCTACTGCTAGATTAGTGTAAATGAACACGTGTTCTACTGCTAGATTAGTGTAAATGAAGAAGCGTTCTACTGCTATATTAGTGTAAATGAACAAGTGTTCTACTGCTAGATTAGTGTAAATGAACACGTGTTCTACTGCTAGATTAGTGTAAATGAAGAAGCGTTCTACTGCTAGATTAGTGTAAATAACCAAGTGTTCTTGCTACGGCTCTTGGGTCCTGCCTCTCAACCTTTAATGGACTTGGTATGTAGGTTCCAGAGCCTACTAGGCTATCATATATATGTGTGCGTGTACATGCTGTGCCTGCACACATGTGTATACATGCTGTGCCTGCACACATGTGTATACATGCTGTGCCTGCACACATGTGTATACATGCTGTGCCTGCACACATGTGTATACATGCTGTGCCTGCACACATGTGTATACATGCTGTGCCTGCACACATGTGTATACATGCTGTGCCTGCACACATGTGTATACATGCTGTGCCTGCACACATGTGTATACATGCTGTGCCTGCACACATGTGTATACATGCTGTGCCTGCACACATGTGTATACATGCTGTGCCTGCACACATGTGTATACATGCTGTGCCTGCACACATGTGTATACATGCTGTGCCTGCACACATGTGTATACATGCTGTGCCTGCACACATGTGTATACATGCTGTGCCTGCACACATGTGTATACATGCTGTGCCTGCACACATGTGTATACATGCTGTGCCTGCACACATGTGTATACATGCTGTGCCTGCACACATGTGTATACATGCTGTGCCTGCACACATGTGTATACATGCTGTGCCTGCACACATGTGTATACATGCTGTGCCTGCACACATGTGTATACATGCTGTGCCTGCACACATGTGTATACATGCTGTGCCTGCACACATGTGTATAAATGGATATCAAAATCTAGAGGACCAATGGACCATTCTGAAAGACTGACAAGATAGAGGCGCCCATTCACTAGCATGAACCGGCTAAAAGTATAACAAAAAATGGGTAGAAATGTAAAAGAATGTAAAAAAAATGTGAAAAACTGTGAGAGAGGAGGCTGCGTTTGAAGGGTTCGTTAGTAAACGTCCCGCCCGATGCAACACTGTTATAGTGGCCGATATATATATATATTTTTTTCGTTCGTGTGTAAAATTTCGAATATTGGCGAGTAAGACATATTTGTTCTCTTCCATACGAGAAGTGCTCAAGCCATTCATCTGCCGTGTGCGTTATGATGTGACTAACTTGCTCTTGGTGACAATCTTTAACAAGATCTCTGAGAGATCAAGAGATTTGTAAGATCTTAAGAGAGAGAGAGATAGACAGAGAGAGAGAGAGAGAGAGAGAGACAGAGAGAGACACAGAGAGAGAGAGAGAGAGAGAGAGAGAGAGAGAGAGAGAGAGAGAGAGAGAGAGAGAGAGAGAGAGAGAGAGAGAGAGACAGAGAGAGACAGAGAGAGAGAGAGAGAGAGAGAGAGAGAGAGAGAGAGAGAGAGAGAGAGAGAGAGAGAGAGAGAGAGAGAGAGAGAGAGAGAGAGAGAGAGAGAGAGAGAGAGACAGAGACACAGAGAGAGACACAGAGAGAGACACAGAGAGAGACACAGAGAGAGAGAGAGAGAGAGACAGGGACAGGGAGAGAGGGAAACTGAGAGACAGAGAGAGAGAGAGAGAGAGAGAGAGAGAGAGAGAGAGAGAGAGAGAGAGAGAGAGAGCGCAGCATCCGTACAGACACCGGGAGAGCAGCTCAGTCCGTCAGCACAAAGCACCTACATCTCTCCATCTTACTGACGTTCGTATCCTCCGCAGACGTCTTCAGCCCTCCAGCAATATTACTCTATACTACCAGGCTGTCTGGCGCTGCGGCCACAGATCAACTTATCGCCTGCTGGTTCTGGCTCGGGAACCACAACTCTCCAAACCAATTACATGTAAACTAACTCAAAAAAAATTGAGTGCGTGGAAAATTTAATGCACCTTAATTTAGACACAATCGACCAGTCGCTCGAAATGAGCTGCTTTAGAGGAATTAAACCTCTTCTTTTTGAATCCACGCGAACTAGTGAACATTAGCATCAGTAGCTTAGGGGAAACAGTCTTGTTTCGTGTTCCCAACACCACCTGGAGTGACCTGGTTGATACCTGGATGATGGGGTTCTGGGAGTTCTTCTACTCCCCAAGCCCGGCCCGAGGCCAGCCTTGACTTGTGAGAGTTTGGTCCACCAGGCTGTTGCTTGGAGCGGCCCGCAGGCCCACATATACCTGGTTGATGGGGTTCTGGGCTTGTGAGAGTTTGGTCCACTCTTTGACATTACAATACACTGCAACTCAATTACAAGTGTTATCTTCTGAACATTCACCTCTACCGCCTCAGTTCCCACCCTGTCACTCTCACGTACAGAGAATTAATATTTCCAATGCCTCACGAACCAGCAATACAATCAATAGGGGAAAAAATCGATGTGGGACGGTATCTGTGGTACCCGTCATGGACCTGTATAACTTTCCTCCGGTATCGCGTTCTTTTGCTGCCGTAAAATCACAATTATGGTATTTGTTCAGTTTGGAACATCAATTCACTCGGTGCTCCTTCTTGGACTGCCTCAGTCCATGGTCTTAGGAGTAGGTGTACTAGAGTAAGATTATCCTGCTCTATCCTGAGAGCAGGATAATCATCCGCCTCAATCCAGGAGGACGACCGCCTGACTCGCCACGCCTTAACTTAGACCCTATAGTCACGCTAGGCTTAACATGGCCCAACATTAGCCTAGCATAATTACAGCACGGCAGACTCTTCATCCGTGAGGCCAGGATTTACACGGCCAGACGCACCTCCCAACCTATTTATTCCTTAATCGTTGACTTCACTCGCGTTATTCCAGTCCAGAATGGTCCAGGACGGACCGAAACGTCATCATCCCTTCAACTTCTAGTGTGTGGTCTGGTCAACAGCCTTCAGTAGTTCCTTCGGGATATGGACCAGCTTAAGATGACGCCCAGCATAGGATTTGGTAATTTGAACAGTATTATCAACTAGGTTGACTTGACTTGACTCTCACAAGTCAAGCGTGGCCCCGGGCCGGGCTTGGGGAGTACAAGAACTCCCAGAACCCCATCAACCAGGTATCAACCAGGTATCAACCACTAGCACTAACCTGCACCTGCCTATCATTCGTCCATTATAAAACCTATCTAAATCAACCTAACCCGTATGTCAGCCTAAGCTGGGGGATGACGCCTAACTGAAGATGGCTGAGACTATGTCATCCAGCTGGATGGTATCTTGGTCAAAAAATTATCCGGATTAGAATGTTGCCCAATGGGCTTACACTGGGTATTCTTCCGTGAAGTCCAGCCAGCGGAACGGCTGTTCGAGCCTGCAGCAAGACCCCCAAGTTCAACCTCCAGGGAAGGCCTGACTGCTGGAGTGTGACGTCCGGCCAGGCATGTGTGTGTGTGTGTGTGCAAGACAAAGCTGGATAAAAACCTCACAAGGCTCCGTCCTCCAGTTCCAGGCTGGGATGACTATTATTTGAACCGCTCTCTTGTGTTGTAATTTAGATGTGGGACTGCGGGCCGCTGCAAGCAACATCCTTACTGGTCTAGTGGCTGCGGATATAGAGCTCTTGAAACCAGCTACAGGTACACTACAGGTAGCATGAGAGGAGACTATAGAGGGGGCGACGCCAACTACTGCAGGTCCTAGCCAGGCGGAGCCGTCTGAGGCGGGTCCGCCCTTACATGTCACGTTGGATTTGAGAAGTGTGTGGCGTGAGCGCCCGCCCGCGCGCCGCTCTGGTACGTGCATGTTTGCTAAGGTCGAGTTTCAACTGCCGTGCTCAGCCCTTTCAGCTATCGGGCGTCTATTGCAATAACTTGTGGAGATTGAGAGGCAGGTTCTGGGGCCTTTATTGTGTGTATGTGTGTGTGTGGGGGGGAGGGGGGCATGTGATACAGAGGGTAGGGGAAAGTAGGGAGCGTGGGTGTTTGGGGTGAGAGGGGGGCCGAGGTCAGCTTCCTTTTCTACAGCGGTCCATACCTCCCTCGCCTTCCCAAGCTCCATCATGGCCGCGGGAGGGTGCGTGATGGACTCAGGCGGGCGGGGGAAGGGAGGGAGGGTCGCCCCTGGGAGTAAAGCCTCCGCTGCCAGTAGGGCGGGGGGAAGGCACGGTGGCATGGGTGGGTGAGGGGGGTTACCTTGTTGTCGAGCGGCGGGAAGGTTTGGGTAAGCTTGGCGGTGGCGGGGATTACCGCCTCTTCCCTCCCTCTGCTTCCCCCCTCCCCCTCCTCCTACCCCCCCCTCCCCCTGCTCCTGCTGCTGACACATTGTTCACCAGCTCAACCACCACAATCACACGCACACGCGCGCTCTCATGTACGCGGGCACACATGCTCATGTGTCACACACAAGGACACATACACACAATAACAAGGAGAGAGGTGAGGTCCAAGAGCTAATCGCTCGATTCTACAGGCAGCTCTTGAGCTGCC